GCACTCACCTGCTGCTTCCTCTCCTGCGCCAGATGATGCCTGGGAGGCCTCTGGGGTCTGGGTGACTGGCTCCAGGGTGAGGGTCGCCGTCTCCTCACTGTCCTCCTCCTCTGGGACCATGTCCCCGTCTCCAGACTGCTCTGGGTCCTGCTCGGGAGCGTCCACCATGGGGTCTGCCAACCCAGACTGTACGAACCGCCGTGGTGTGCGTGCTTCGCCACTGCCACCCAGGATCTGGTCCAGCTTGGGGTAGTAGGGGCAGTAGTAGGGGACTGCCCCAGAACAGGAGCTCTCCTCCCTGGCCTTAACGTACCCCTGGCGCAGCTCTTTTACTTTGGACCGCCCCTGGTCCTGGGTGCGGGGGTAGTGGCCCGTCTGGGCCAGGGCTTCAGCCATGCGGCCATAAATATCTGCGTTTCGCCGCCGGCTTTTGAGGGCCTGTAAGGCCTCCTCCTCTCCCCAGAGCTCCAGCAGGCTCTTGATCTCTGCGCCAGACCAGGATGGTGCCCGGCGTTTGGAGCCCTTGGCTGGGTCCCCAGAAGGCTCTCTGGAAGGGCCAGGACGCTCTTGGGGCTGGGACATGCTGCAGCAAAGTAGCCGTGTGCTCTGGCTCCTTCTCTGCAACAAGTGGCTGTGAGGGTGCCTGTCCCTTTAAGGAATGGCTGCAGCTAGGAACCACAGACGTGCAACCCATGGCCCAGATTGTCCACCAGGGCTTCTTCCTGGAGGCCAATTCTTTCGAAAGAAAGGGCTCCCCCCGTCCACACTCACGTTCTTTCGACGGATCTCCCTCGAAAAAGGCGTTCTTCCTCGTAAAATTAGGTGTACAGCTGTCGAAAGAAAACCCGCGTTCTTTCGATTTACTTTCGAAAGAACGCGGCTTGAGTCTGGACGCAGGGGAAGTTCTTTCGAAAAAAGGCTACTTTTTTCGAAAGAACCCCTGAGTCTGGACACGGCCTTAGTGTCTAATAAGAATTTCTGCTATAATATGGGGCTTAATCAGTGAGATACAAAACAAGAAAAAAGACCTTGATCACAGCATAGCTATGAGCCACTAATAAGACCTGGCTATGAAAAAAAGGCAAATGTGATCTTAGGATGCATCAAAGGAGGCAATGCCAGTAAAGAGAGTATCCATTTCATTCCAGAAGGAACTGGTAAGATCTCATTTGGAATAATAAACATGTCTGGTCCTCTATGTTAAGAAAGATACATTTAAATAAGAACAGATGCATAGAGCGACTAGAATGCTCTGGGGAATGTAGGCCCTATCTTATGAGAGCAGACTGGAAAAGCTTACTAGCCTAAGCAAACCAAACCCAAGGCTGAGAGCAGACAGGCTCATCCTCTATTAATGCTTTAGGCAGGGCAGTAACCAGGGCAGGGTGAGTGAGGCAGCTACCCAGGTACAACATCGCAGTATTAGAAAAATGAGGGAGAGAAATGCCAAAAAACCTTCAACATCAACAAGAGGTGCTAATATACTTGCTCACTCCAGGCACAATTAAATGTCCAGCTACAGCTCTGAGATTACAAGGGTAAATACCAGGGAGGGTGAAATCGTAGTTAAGCTAAAGGACAACACTGGCTTGAGAACAGATGGATATAAATTGGCCAAGAACGAATTCTGAGTGCAACTCAAAAAAATTTCTAACTATCAGAGGGGCCAGGTTCTGGAAACACTTGAAACAATGGAAGCTATAGGGGCAAACAGCTTAGTTAGTTTTGAGAAAGACCTGGAAAAATGAATGAATATAACTCTATGACTGGCTAGCTTTACGTGGCAGGGGGCAGGGCTCAACAAACCTGAGACTGATTTCCAATTGATCTCTTTTGTTCCTAAAAACACCTGCTTCTCTATCTGGTCAAGTGCAGGGATCAGGAGGGGATTTCTCCACCCCCAACGTATTCTGAAAGCTTTTGTATCTGCTTCCTTTGAAGCATCAGGAACGGCCGTGGCTGAAAATGAGCCTTTGGACAGGGAAGGCCAGGCCTTTGAGGTGGCATTGAGCATTTCTCTCTCGCACTCTGGCTCATTTTTGCTCCTATGCTTGGAATATAACTGAGTGCCACCTGTGGCATTTGGATGGAATTTCCCCCCAAATCAGATTGGCAATGACCCTGGACATGTTCATCTTAATTATTTCCTTGCCATTGCAGGGCTGTCATGTACCATTGCCCTCAAGCTCACTCCTTCCCACTCTCTGCCAGTGGCAAATAACTGTCTAGTCTCCTGTGGGCTATAATACTTTCATTTTAGTAGGCTGTGTCTACACACTGGGCCACTTATTCTGGAAAATCAGCCGCTTTTCCGGAATAAGCTGCGAGCTGTCTACACTGGCCCTTGAATTTCCGGAAAAGCAACGATGCTCTACTGTACAAAATTAGCCGCTATTCTGGAAAAACTATTCTGCTCCCGCTCGGGCATAACTCCTTATTCCGGAACACTGTTCCAGAAAAGGGCCAGTGTAGACAGCCCAGTAGTCTTTTCTGGAAAAAAGCCCCGATCGCGAAAATGGCGATTGGGGCTCTTTTCCTGAAAAGCGCATCTACATTGGCCACAGACGCTTTTCCGGAAAAAGGGTTTTTCCGGAAAAGCAGCCTGTCAATGTAGATGCTCCTTTTCCGGAAAAACTGAAAACGGAATAGTATTCCGTTTTAAGCAGTTCCGGAAATTCATGCCAGTGTAGACACAGCCCAAGTGTTTAGGGAGGTGCTGGGGGGTGGTTGGTGGCCTATGCGCTAGAGGAGCATATAATCTGTTCTCATATATCAAAAGGTATGTACATTAAAGCAGGCTTACAAAACTGATTGTATAGGTAGAGAGAGAAAGAGAGAGAGAGAGAGAGACTGGGGCTGTGTCTACACAACAGAGTTTTTCCAGGGCACCAGAGGTATCTCAGAAAAACTCAAGTATGTAGATGTGCTGAAATAAGAATATATCACCATATGTGTATACGATATTGTGAATATAATTCCCTATTAAGTTCTATTGGCTGGTTTAAAACAAATCTGCAAAAAAGATAATTTTTTATGATAAACCTATAGGTTTATAAATAATGTTTATATAACTCACATTCATTTATTGTTTCATCTCTATTAAGTTCTATAGGAATTTTCAAAATGGGTTTAAGGTTAGGATTCTAAAACTGTAGAAACCCAGCCTCTCTGGGGTTTTTTTTTTAAAGGATTCAGAGTAAAAACTCTTTGCTCCCAAACCAAACCAAACCAAACCATTAAATTGTCAAAATTAAGCCATTGTCAGTGTGCAGATAACAGAGCTAATGGCCTGTTTAGATTTTGACCTTTCTGAGGATTGTTTCATAAGCTTCAATGACATTATGGAGAATTAATAAGATTTCACATCCCAAATACAATCACCATAGGAATAACATGAGCATGATGAAAAACTTATCAGGGGAGTTCAGTGAAATGCAGAGTTTTCAATTGGCTGGATTCATGGATTGGTTCCTGGCTTGAGGAGTTACCAGGAGAGCTGCTCTTCTGCATTTCCCATACAGTTTCAGTAGACCAGGGTACGTCTTGTTTGAGAGAAAGAGGTCAGAAAAGAAATCCATCAACCTATCATCCTCTCGGTCCAGTAACTCCATGGAGTTATGCCAGAAAGGAATTTAGACCATCATGGACTGAACAAGCTATGTTTTATGAGGAAAGCAACTGAGCAACATTGTTAACTATAAATAAATAAACCCAAACGGAGGGCTGAATTCCCCTGCAGTGCCTTAATTTCCACCTTGAAGGACAAAAGAAAAAAAATACTCCAGAAAACTATTAATTTCAACCAACCTCATGATCCACCGAGTGATGTTTCTGTCCTTTGCTTGTATCCTGACAGGCTGTTATTTGTCGTATATGATGAAGACTGACAATCAGACATACAGTTTCTGGAACATTCTGGTAACAGAGGGACTTGACTATGCATGAGTCCCAGGCTGGATAAAATATAATGCCACATAGCTCCATATTGTGTCCCAGAAGCTGACAAAGGAGTTGATGCTAATAGCTGTCAGCGCGTGCATATAAAATCAGTTTTATATTCTTATTTATTTTTGAGACAGTTATTCATGAGGTCCTCTACTGACAATCACAAGTGACTTGGGGGAATCGAGGGGTTGTACAGTGCCGGGAACTGTCATTAGAGAGTTTGGTCCTCTGAACTTCAATGTTATCTCACTTTCTGAAGCTCCTGTCTCAACCAATATGGCAGGGGTTGTCCCAATCTGTGCAGCAGTTTGGACAGTTCCACATTGTGATCTCTGTAGTAGTTTGAAAGAAAAGCTCTAGCCTGAGGACAGAGGGGAACAAGGAACAAAGACAATTTACATTAGAAATTGGCAACCTTGCAGGGAGCAATCTTACTAAAAAACCCAAACCAAGTACAATTATTAATGGGACTGCCCACATTTTTATGGCCCTCAATTTTAGTTGTCTCGCTATTATTGTGACAGGAAAATGTCCTGGACAAACTTGCCCGATTTTAGATAAAACTTATTAAACTGAATTCAATATCAGTGTGGGGGTCCATTGTATTAAAAAGCGACTGTTTGCATCGTTGTAGGATTGTATGTAACATTTCTAGGAGATTAATATAAAATTTGGGGAAATATTAGGAATGTTGAATAAACTGGTTGGGACAATATGTGTGAACTGGGTATCTTAGGAGTTACTTTGGAGGCCTTTTGAAACAATAACATATGGACAAAACCCCCTTGTCTCTTGCTTACTTGCTCCTTGAAACTCCAGACTGACAACCTGTGAACTCTATTGAAGACGGACTAAATTCTTCACAAGTGTGCTAGTTATGTGACGAGTTTTGTCTGGAAATGGATGACAGGAGAGGGATCACATGATGATTACCTGTTGTGTCCCCTCCCTCTGGGGCATCTGTATTGGTCACTGTCGGCAGACAGGATAGTGGGCTAGATGGACCTTTGTTCTGACCCAGTATGGCCATTCTTATGACCATAGAACAACTGGGGCTGTTATATGACCACAGAAGAGACCGCTTTATGGGATCTGAGAGGCTAACCAGGGCCCATATAGGAGTTGGAATAATCAACAGTAAGCTTGTGCGTGTGTAGGTTTATTGTTTTTTAAAGATGTTTTCACCTTTACAATAAATAAGCCTGCTCAGTTTGGTAACTTTATGGTAAGTTACAGTGTCTTTAGTCTCTGAAGAGAAAGCAAGTAGGTTGGCTTATGCAGTTCAACTTTGCTAAGGGAATTCCAAGTCCAATTAGGGAGCTCTTCAGCCCGGAAATACCCCAGTCCGCATGGAGAGGAGCAAGCATCACCACACAAAGGTGTGATGCTGGGGGAGCTACAAGCCTGAACATGGATGCATTTGCTGGACAAAAACAGGTGTGGTTTTCCTGACCTGTAAAGCTAAAAACTATCCTTTATTCCTGAGTCCCAAGTATAATGCTGTGTAAGATTTTCACAAATGGCAACTGAAGAAAAGTGGTACCTCTTGATCCATGGGTGGGTATTTTCGGCCTTTGCTTTTCCCCAGGCATTTTGTCTTTCCTCCTTCCAGCAGCTGACACCAAAAGCCCTTCTGAGGGTCAAACCTAAAAGGGACCATATCTTATGAATGGTCTAATTATGAAGGAGCCACTAAATAGACAATTGCCACTCTGTGATATCTGAGATATTTACTTCTTTCAAGTACGGAGTATTTTGCTTCTTCCAAGTTACTGGTATTACAATGCCCTAGATGGCCATTTGCATGGTCAAGAACAATTTATACAGTACAAGACATGGTTGAGAACAATTATCAATTGTTTGAAGATACTCATTTCTCCAAACAGTTAACAGGAGCCTATGATGTTTTTGTGTATGTACAATGTGTGAATTCTATTTACTAGGAAATTGCTGTCACGGATAGCCCCTGTCTCAGTGCATATTCATCACTGCAGTCAGAACCTACAGCAAATATACACCATTCTGAGGGCAAGGGGGAATACTTAACTTCAGCTACTGGACAACAGATATGCTAAATGAGTTTCCATAAGCTGTTTGAAAAAACAAAACAAAAACCTTCCTTCTTTTGTCTGAAGGGATAAGATGCAGGGAGTGGAAATTCCCTAAGCAGGACAAAGACAGAAATGACAAAGCAGGCCTTTACAGAGAACTGAGAGGGAAACACTAATGGATACACAAGATGGGGAGAGGACTGGCCAGTAGCTACGCTGGGAGAAAAGGTTTTATGTTTTTTTTAAAAAAAGCAAGTCATGCACCTCAATGAGGTTGCTGGATAGCTCCAGATGATCTTGATTCCAGCCCAAAGAATATACTGGAGAATTGAGGAAACAGAAGCACAGAAATACATGTACAGTTGAATATTTTTATACCAATGTTATTTCTTGTTCTATTAAAGAAAGATCTATGCTGTGTCTGAATCCTGTGGGAAGTCTCTGTGGACTTACACGTACCTTATTGTACCTTGTCATATGCCATCTGAGAATTAGCAGCAGCTCATACTTTCAGGAGGTTCTGAGAGAAGGCATGTTTAAGTTACAGTGGAGCAGGAAGAGTGGAGCAGGAAGAGTCTGCACTGATGCCAGAATGCCAGGCAGTGAGTCACATTGTCTAAACTCATAGGAAGGCGTTAGACAGATGATCTGCACCCCAAGAGTATGCTAGGGATCTCAAGGTAATGGCAGTGAGTAACTGGATTATTAGAATCAAGACGCTTAAATGCATGGGTTCCAGAACTTGTTCCCTTAACAGCAGTCTTGTGAATGCCCAAGTGGGAGCATTTGACTGGACCTGTGATACCAAGCACGTATCCAGGTCAGAATTTGTAAGTGTCAGAGATTTGAAAAAACAAGAAAACCAAAACAAAACAAACAAAAAATCTCCCCAACTATAGGCCCTATTGACTTCAGTAGGAGTTAGATCAGATCTCCTCTGTGTGCATGCACATATCTTCTTAACAATATATTTATTAGTTGTGTAGGTATTTTTGAAGCAACTGAAGCTGTGTTTAGATCTTATGGAAGAGGTGGTTGTCTTGCTACTAATGAATCACTACACCTGGAGGGTGTTTGACTACATATCATTTAGTTCTAGATATTACTTTCATTCCAAGGCAGGCAGCCGCATAAATGCTGTCTCTAAACAATCTTGGCAGAAATTTGAAGTCTGATCATCATGTTTAAAAATCAAAGATATAGGAATATCAGATTACAGCATTAAAACACTAAGGAAACAAGAAAAATAAAGTGTAAAGTTTTGAATTTATTGCTTTGGGACTTGGCAGAATACATAAAACATTGAAAAGGTTTGCATTTTTGCTGTTCAGCAGATGTTTGAGAGGGATGAAGCATAATTGGCTGAAATGTAAAGCTAATTAGTTTCAGAATGTTTTGTTGCCTTGGGCCTAGTTCTTAAACACCAGCACACCTGCAATTTGCTGCTGCATATATGTGAACTCATTTCAGAAGAAGGGGAGGGGAGGTCTTCTCTTTTTTTCCTCCATTGTCTGGCCTATTATTCCATGACTAATCCTTCCAGCCTAAAATGTCCCAGTAATTGTATCAATTAAAATTAAACAAGTCATTGATTAAATGGATATATTGATGGTAGAGTCACTTCAGTTTTTGACTTTTCAATCTGCTCATTGCATAGTGATGTACTTTAGCTGGCTTGCACTAATTTCCCCAGAGAAAAATTAATATAGTAGGCTGTGCTAAAAAAAACTTGTAGAAGTATGCCCTAAACATTTCTGCCTCAGTAGGAGTTTTTTCAAAATTATGGGAAAGTCCAAAATTGTAGAATAAAAAAAGCCAGATAACTCAGTTAAGATGGACCCCTCATGCTCATGTTCCTAGTACTGTATAAAGTTGTACATTTTATGCACAGTACGTTATATGATACTATGTCTGGGAACAATGGAAATACTTAACGATAGCATGTTGGTCTTAGCTGTAACCCAAATTTTCAAAGGAAAGCAAACAAGGCCTCATATTTCATAATTTCTCCTGACCTTCCCTACGTTATCTAAGGAACTTATATAGCCTCTGTTACTAAGAGACTCACAATGTTTAACATATTTATCTTCCTAGCACTCCTGTGAGATAAAGCACTGATATTATCCCCATTTTTTTCAGATAGGAATGATAGCAAAGAGAAGCAATGTGACTTTCCCAAGGTCACACAGGAAATCTGTGGCAGAGCAAGGAATTGGATTGAGTATCTTGAGTTCAGGACTTCTCCTTCACAAAAGAAAAAACCTGCAGAATTGTGCATCTTATTTTGATTTTATTTTGAAATAGCTTATTTTGAAATTTGGCGCATCTACACGGCACCAAATTTCAAAATAAAGTTTTATTTTGAGCCATCCCTTATCCATCGTCTCTCTGCTAATCATGTGAACATGGAATCCCCACTTCTCTCTGGCTCCAGTGTGAGGAGAGTGAAGAAGAAAAAAAGTGGAAAAATGGCTCTTGCGCAAGACGGGATTTTTGCACAAAAGCCTCTTGTGTAAAAAGCAGCCGCTCATTTATTATGCAAATGAGGCTCGGCAATATTCCATGCTTAGCCTCATTTGCATATTTCTTGCGCAAAACCAGTGCAGCGTAGACATAACCATAGATAGGAATTAATCTTTACACCATTACTTTAAATTCTGATTTTACAAATGAAATAGAATTGGAAAACCCAAGTCTGCTTTAGTACAGTATGTTAAGGATAATAGGTTAGTTGTGCACTTACTTAGTGCTGGGTGGAGTGCTTATTCATGATTGAACAATATTTATCTTTGTGCAGGGGCATAAGCAGCACTTAATGTCTCACTTGCACCCTATTTTGAGGGCTACCGCTTCAGTAGCATGTGTTCAATGCCCTTACTCTTTGCACCAGGGTGAATTTTGTGCTCCTGTGAGAAGCCAAGTTTATTTTTGTGGTTTACTCGTGGCAATACGCTTGTTTTTCAGTAGTGTTTGAACAACTGAGTCCTTGGACTGCATTCTGACAGTTTTAAAAATGTGTGTTGTACACTTAATACCCAGCACTGACTTTGAAGGAGCCTATTCAGTCAATTTTATATTGACGTTCCTAATGTGAAGCTACCGCATTGTTCAATGTTGTTTCCTCTTCTATGCAAACCTATGTTTCTTCCACACACTTGCTTTCTCAGTGTTTTTGAACTGTGATTGTATAATATTCGGAACCATGTACAACACACTTTCCTTTATAAATAAAGGCAATGGACCAACTTTATACCTGATGTGTGACTTCAGTTTAGTAACTTGGGGAATAAATTTGTCCCCAAATATATTAAAACATCACAAAAGGCACAGAAGATATGCAGTGTGGCAGGTGTGCAAACATCAGGAGGTTAGCTACGTATTCAGAACTGCTGCCAGCACTTTGTACATATTATGAACGACAGATTTGCAAAATTAAATTTCCGAAAATGAAATTGTTTAACTAGGAAAAACTATTGTGAAAAGCAGTGTTTTTAAGAGACTTCAGTTTTAAAGAACCTGGCACAATTCTGGGATTATATGGAGAATAAGAATCCTTATAACCCACACATTTGTTGTTTGTTTCGGAAAAGACTGAAGAGGAATCATTGCTGTCTTTACCCCACATAAAAGTGGAAGTAATGTGTGGGAGATGAGCTCCCCTGTATCATTACTATGGAGATGATAGAGTGTATGATTTGTTTCTCTTCCTCCCTTTCTGTGGAGGTGACATGGAGTTCTACCCTAAGCTCTTCAGATACAGGAATCTGTAGGAAAGAATGACACCTAAGCAGATGCTGAATGTTTGGAGATTAGCTTCAGGGAGCTCCTGCTGCCCTTCACCTTCCCAACAAGCTGGTGGTTTCTTGGCTCCATGGAGTACCTGCACTACAGTGTTTGTCACTAGGATTCAACTGCACATGAGGTTCTCCAGCATGGAAAGGCCCAGTGTGAAAGTCTTGTGCTGATTTACCACTGGTCTGGAAGAATTAAAATCTACCCAGTCCAAATTACTGCAGAGATCCAAGAACTAATGGGGAACTCACTGCAGGGAGTGGGAAGGGGGAAGGGAGATAGTTAACAGATAGTCAGGTGACACAGAGGAAATCCATATCCTTCAGGTCTCCAACATGGGTAAATCTCAGCTCTGAGCTGAGTTCATTAGAGGCATGTTTGTAAGCACTTCACTGATCCAGGGCCATTGAAGTCAATGGAAAGTGTATTAAAGGCAGACCGCGAGGATATTCCTCTGATTGCCTTTGGGCCTCACTCCATGGGATGAGCTTACACTAAAATATTATCAGCACAGCAACTAGTGTTGTCCATATTTAAGGCTGCCCCACACTTCCTATTATAAGATCCTCTTTTAAATTGCTTGTAGCTTTCACCAAAGTTTGAAATTTTCCATACTGGGCTGTTTTCCTCAGCCTGAATTTTTTCACAAGTTTTGGCAATTTGTTTCTGAAAACAAGATTATGGAAAATACATCGTTTTGCCAATGTTAAGAAAAAAACCCAACCAAAGGTGAATCTGATGATTAAGGCTGTTAAATACTGTACTAGTTAATTGGATTCTGCCACAGAATTTCGAAGTGATGCTAAAGTCCTTTTAATCATATTTTTCACAGGTGATTACTAATTGCATGTTCTGCATTTTCTGGGTGCCTGACTTGAGACCCTGACATCTGATTTTCAGAGGTATAGTTGCAATTGTAAGTGGTCAAAAGTCAGTGGGAGCTGTGCTTTGAACAAGTAACATACTATATAATGTGAAGAACTCTTAAAAATCAGGCCATATGCAACTCAAATTGGGCATGCAGAATAAATGTGTACTTATGACTTTGTGTCTTAATTTTCTATCTGTAAAATTGGGACAATAACCCCCTCACTTTACAGAGCTTTGGTGAACCATAATCTGAATAATGTTTGTGAAGTACTCCAGGACTATCGCGAGGAGCACCATAGAAAGAAGCATGAAGAAATTAATAATTCTGTCTTCAGAACAGAGATTGGATAGTGTGAAATAAGTATATTCTGGGGCCTCACATTGAATTATGGGAAGTGTGGGGGGAAGGAGAAATTGACTAATAGTTCATTCAGTGAGCACCAGCTGTCCTGTGCATTGAATGAGGCAGGGGTTCTGGAGGGAAAATAGTATGTGATCATATCATGAAAGACTGCATCAGAATCGATATACACAAAAAGGCTGATTTTTGAGTGCTTGGTCTTGCAACCTTAATATTCTTTTAATGTCATTTTTTGTTTGTAACTGATGATAAATTGTCCCTGGGAATTATGGATGTATCTAATCACATACAAACAGAAGAGACTTAAGGTACAGACTCACGTTAGAGCTTCAGAGTAATTATAATGAGGTGAGACTCCCAGAAACTTCTGCACTTCATCCATCACAGTAGCTGGGTCACTTCTTAGCTGTTGTCCATCAATAATTAGCAACTGTAAGGATAGATATATTGGCCTTTTAATAAAAAAGACTTAGTTCAATAAACTAAGATACCTCATTTCTTCTGTGGTATAACTGAAAGCAAGGTGGATTTGAGGTAATACTGCTTCAATAGCAGACTGCAATTCAACTGTTTCTAGGCTTATTTTCTTTCAGCTCTGAATGATGCTAGAGAAGTATAGCCTTGCATCTGAGGGAACTCTTTGGATGACTCTGTTGTTTTCTCAAGATAGTTATTTTTACAATCATAAGCAAAGAATAAAATCAGAATAGCAAAGATATTCAGAATACTGAGAAAAACAGATTAAAAAAAAAACTTGGTCAGACACATTCAAAAGCATTAAAATACACACTGAGCACTCAGAATAAATAAATATCCTGGAATTAAATAGTACCACTATGTAGATGCAGTAGATTGACAGTATCTGATAATCTATATATCATTATTACAGATCTTTCATAAGTATACTAGCAAAATCAGGTCTGATGCAAAGTTACCTCAGTGCTGCACAGGACTTTGTGTTATACACAGAAGCTTTTGCAGGACAGAACTCTACAGATAATAATTAAGTTGGATGAGGCTGTTTCATATTTATTGTGAATCTTATAAATTATTAACTTTTTGAGTGCACATTAGTAAGCACAATAAGTGCACTTTCTGCACACACATCATAAAGAATGAGTGCACATTGCTGTGTATCTTGTAAAATTAATCACTGAAACTAGAAAAACATGACGGTACCCAATTTTACAAGGAATATGTCCATGTGCACCGGCATACCTAATTGCAAAGTCTTCATTTGCTGCAGAAACTAACTACTTCATGGGGGAGAGAGAACCCTTAACATACATGTTAAGAACACAGAAAGCAAACAGGTAATTGGAGTCCTGGTTCTCTTGCAGACCCAGAATACCATGCATGTTCTGAAATCTGAGAGACTGCATTTTGTCCCTCTCTCTTATCAGGACTAGAGATGGAGTAAACAACTTACTGCAGGAAGTCCTACTTGCCATCGATCTCCCAACATGTGGGCATATTTTGTGAAGAACTTTGCAACTTGTGGGCCAGAACGTGTTGCCTATCAAAAGAGAAGTAGGACTAAAGGGAGAAGATACAAGTCACTGTCAAATCCAGCCCTCATCTTTCTTGCTAGCAATGAGACTGGTCTATTTCCCTCTAAGTAGTGCAGCTTGAGGCTATTCATACAGAAAAGGCCAACCACAAACAGAGCTGGATTCCAGAAATCTTTTTGGCCGCCTAGCGCATAGAGTAAGTAGAGGGCACAGCTTATGCTGCCGAGTTTCAACACAGAGATTCTTTACGTCTTGGTCAGATTAGGCAGTCCCAGGAGAGATTGTTTATTGCCCTATATATCTCTTTTCTTTCTGTACCCGCATATGCTCATATGATCATAATCTGAAGGTGTGTTGTATTAATCTGTTTTTTGGAATGAAACAGTTATTCTGTGAAGATTTTTTTTTTTAAATAAATGTATCTAGGGGTGGATGGGTGTGTATAGATTTTCCAGGAAAATTTTCCAAAAATGAATTAAAAAGCATCTCAAGATTATATGTGATAATGGTATAAATTCAGATAATTGTTACCAAAATTAGTAAATTGTGTGAAATGGATAGTAGGAAATTACCTGAGAAGTGGGAAAGTGAGTTAACCATCTTTCTATATGGGTAGCATACCACCCAGGGATCAGACATCTCTTCTGGAGAGTCTTTAACTCTGAAGGAGCCCAATGGTCTGATGCAATCACTTCATAGAAATTAAACTTCAGAGCAGCAGGGTCCTCATGAGATCGCTGGTGCTAGCATACAAAATATAAGAGATAATTAGGTATAGTTAGATAGAAAATTAAGCCATAAGAGAGTAAGAAAGTGACTATTGTACTATTTCAAACTTCCAAACATGGTAGAGAATTTAGCCAATTGTAGCTTCATTGCTGTTATGTTAATATGATGAAATATGTTAGATGGATAATGGTCTCATTTAAATGTTAGTAGTGCCTATCATACCCTTAATATTAACATGATCACCACCGCCACCACCAGCCAATCACGTAGCACAAACCAAAAACCTATGACTGTTTCAATGGCAGAAGATTGTCTGTGGTGCCCACCATTCTCATGTGTTGTGGGCTTGAGGCAGAAAAGCATTTGGTGAAATTATATAGCTTGTATTATGCAGTAGATCAGATTAAATGATCTATTCCAGCCTAAACATATATATGAATCATCTATGTTACTAAAAAGGTATGTTACCCAGGCACTCAGTTAACTATTTGTAGAGACCAACAAGCCCATGTTAAAATGATACAGAGTATAATTTATTCAAACATTCAGAACCGGTAGCTTTTCACATGTACTTTTGTGGTCACTTGGTGAAGGTAAGCAATTACAGGTTCAAATTCTGTCAGAGTCGATGGCTAGACGACAGGCTTCTTTCGGAAGAATCTAGACTACAGGTTTCTTTCAGAAGAAGCTTTTCTGGAAGAGATCTTGAAAAAGAGCGTCCACACAGCAAAAATACATCGAAAAAGCAATCTGCTTTTTTGAAAGATAGCATCCACATTGATTGGATGCGATCTCACATTTAAATTGTGATTACTATGGACGGAGTGGCCACCAGGGCACCTGTGCTTTTTCTTGCAGGTCTCTTCTTTTGAAAAAAACCCTTCCTCCCCCATCCACACACGCTTTTTTCCGAAAGAGCTCTTTTGGAAAAGGGCTTCTTCCTTGTAGAAAGAGGTTTTCCAATGTTGTAAAAACCCCAGCGTTCTTTCAATTTTCTGTTGAAAGAATGCAATTGCAGTGTGGATGTTAAGTGTTGTTTTTCCAGAAAAACTCTGCAGAAAAACTCTGCTCTCCTCTTGAGCATCCCCCAGGAAGGGGTAGGAACAAGTTACCACCCTCTGCTTTTGATTGTGTTGCCCATTTTTCAGTTGCAAGGTCCCTACCTGATACCAGGAGTATGCCCGATCTGATGGGTCAATAAGAATGGTGATAATCTTGGCCTTGGGGATCAAAGAAGCTGCTCGTTTTGGAGCTTCCTCAGAATGGAAGTAGTTGGCACTTTTCTCAAACAGAAAGTCAGTGGTGACATTGGAAGGGGTAGGAAAGAAATCCATGTACCTGGGGAGAAGGAGACTATGACTGGAATTAAGAAAATAATCCATTTTTTGTGCATATATTCCTGCATTTCATAGCATGAGGAAATGATTATCTGCAAACATGATTCACCAATGGACAGAAATCAAAACTCGACTGGTCAAAAGAGTCATTCTACACTTGTAAGCGTAAACACTGTAAACACTGGCCAGGGAGCAATGATGTGAGTAGCTAAACATTGTGAATCTATTGGCAATTGTTTCCACTAGTGATAAGAAAAGTACTAATTGTTCTTACAATTATTAGTCAGTGAATAACTGGAAATACTGTTTTCCTAAAAGCATTTTTAACAATAACAGTGTTCATGGAGATTCACATCTAAGTGTTCCTAATCTGAAATCAAGAGGCACGTCTACACAGCAGGGCTAAAGCCAAAATAAGCTATGTATCTTGAGCTATGTCAGTTGCGTAGCTAAAGTCAAAATAGCTTATTTTGGCTTTTGGCACTGTCTACAGAGCAGGAAGTCTGAGAAAGACCACTCTTCCTCTGACTTCCTTTACTCCTTGTAAAATTAGGGTTACATAAGTCAAAGTAAGAAGTACTCCAGCTCAACATTATTTTGACATTATGTCTAAATAACTGCTTATTGTATAGATGCGGACTACCGTATTTTCCGGCGTATAAGGCGACTGGGCGTATAAGACGACCCCCTAATTTTTTAGTTAAAATATAGGGTTTCGTCTTATACCCCAGCGCCCCTCCGCCTCTCCGGCTTTGCTCCCGGTATCCCTGGTCTGCTGGAGACGGTCCCCAGCAGACCAGAAGCACCGGGAGCAAAGCCGCAGCAGCCGCCGCTTCGGCTTTGCTCCCAGTGCCTCTGGTCTGCTGGGGACCATCTCCAGCAGACCAGGGACACCGGGAGCAAAGCCTCTGAGGACGCCCCAGCAGCGGGACAGCCCCGGCGCCTCTGGGCTGCCCCGGCGCCGGAGCCCCTCCGCGGCTTTAGGTTCATTAACCCAATATATTGTTTGAATGCTTCCCCGGATATAGGCCATTCATCTAGATGTATGTTGGGGTTAACAAAATAAATCTGCAATCTCCCTCACCTTTTGTTATGACACAATCCATACATGTCTCACAAATAAACAAACTCCACAAAAGTAGATATGCATCTTACAATAAAATTCAGGCTAATAAAAGGCATCTGGAGTCGCGGTTATATCAATAGCAACATGAGACCTGCTCCATTATGTAGTATGAAAAAATGTGCAATGAAGCATTCCATCTCCTTGGTTTTCACAACCTAATGAATCTAATAATTCAATATGTCTCTTACAATAAGAGTAGCCATTGTGATAATGTTGTTTTCAGTGATTTTTAAATATTTTCATTGTGTCTATTCATCATTCCAGCGTACGTACAGCTTTGTATTATTTAAACAATTCAAGAATAGCCTTTTAAAATACATATATGGGGCAATGTTGCTCCTGTATATTAGCTTTAATATAAGTTTGAGTACTGCTACTATCTTTTGGTAAATGAATCATTGCAAAATAATTACTTTAAAGATTTAAAAACCCATGTTAAAGAATCTGAGAGGATTGACAACCTAAAGTTCCTTAGTAATGGCTCAGTTCTGCCGCCCTTTGCTATGCTGAATAGTGATTTACTCCACAAGCAGGGTGAATGGCTAGATTATGCCACACTCACTCATGTTGAGCAAGACCCAACTTTAAGAGTAGTTTATAATGAGAAGGATGGCAAATTCTAGCCTGTTAAAATCAATACGATCATGATGAAACTGCAGAGGAAGGTACATAGAGAGAAAAATATCTCATCTGAACTGGGCTCTCTATTGTTTTAGTTTACCGGAAACTATGACAGTTATTTTAACATTTAAATAAAATTAAGGACAACACTTGATTAAGTGTCCCGTCATTATGAATTAGTTTCTAATTCACTCTGATAGTGCCAAGCATAGCAAATTCATCTGGTAATTATGTGGTTGTCATATATACTTCTATAATAGCTCCATTTTGATTTAGCATGCTTTAATAATTGATATTTATTTTGTTAGTCTTCTTACCAGTCAATTCCCTTGTGATAGTTGTTTCCATTGAAGAATTGAACTTCTTCAAAAGTTTTTGGACTAGGGAGATTACTGATTATGGAAGGATGCATAAGGAGAAATAAATAAAGTGCTGTTGTTCCTAAAGGGAGGGGAAAAAAACAAAACCAAGACATGGAATTATTTGGCACAGTAAGGAAAGGTAGGATATATCTAAAGCTTTTAAATTCAAGAATGTATTTCTGAACAGACACAGGAGTTTTAAATATGCAGGTAAATTTATTTGTCCTGTGGTCATTAACTCTTTCATTCTCAAGAGTCCATATTCTGCTCCGATGCATGTGTAAGGTTTCTATTTACATCAGAGGAATAGAAAAAATCTGGCTATATCATTAGTAACATATTGCATGTTAAAACAATATGCATTTTGTATCTCTTTTCATAAATAATTATTATAGAACTGTGTCCGTTTCTGTCCGCCTTCATCAATATCTGCTTATCTCCTCTAGGTTGCTAGATGTTAAAGAATACACACCTTTGCACAAGTGGTAACATTAATTCTCACCAAGCTAGACAAAGGACAAGTCCACCCAATAAAACTGGGTTTCATTATATAAATGATGGTTTAAAAGAGAGGTCCTATTTTATTCAAGCCACTTTCTCCCCATAAGCAATGAAATGGTTAACAACAGCTATCCATTCCTATTCAGAATGTATTACACGTATAATTTTGAATTTACTTTGTCATGCATAGTTTCAAATAAATTTATACATCAAAAAGTTAGGGAATTGTACGCTTAGAACACTATTAATGTAGAAATCCAACATCATCTGAGCTTGCCAGTGGAACCTTTGCTCGTTTATGGCACAGGGATTTTGAAGATCATGACATTTAAATAGACACCAAGCTTCTTATCCATCATTCTCCCTAGATTATTGTATTGGTCTGAAACCTGGACAGCCTACAGACATCACCTGAAAGTCCTTGAGAGGTATCACCAATGCTGCTTCCACAAGATCTTAAAGATCAAATGGGAAGACAGGCATGCTAACATCAGTGTTCTGGAAGAGGTAAAGACCACCAGTATTGAGACAATGATAATCTGTCGGCAACTTTTCTGGACTAGTCATGTTGTTCAGATGCCAGACCAAAGCCTCCCAAAACAAGTCCTGTTTTCTCAGCTGAAAGAAGGGTACTGTAACGAGGGAGGACAACTGAAGCATTATAAGGACTTGCTAAAGGATAACTTAAAGAAAGTGCAACATTGATGTTGACAGTTGGGAGAAACTTGCACAGAATAGCTCAAAATGGAGAGAAGCTAGGAGGAGAAAATCCGCAGGAGGAAGGGGAGACTGGCTTCTAGTCATGGTCAACAGCCTCCTGCTGTACCTGGAAACATCTGTCCTCATTACAACAGAACTTGTGGTTCAAGGATCAGCTTTAGCAGCCACTTGAGGGTACACAACTCCCATGAGAGATAATCATATTTAGGTAAAGAGTGATCATCCATCATCATCAATATGTTTAGAATCACATCCACCATTCAAGTCAGTGTACTTCACCACTTCTCACCTGTTTTTTGAGGTCCAATCACAAGAAATTTCGGTAGATGGTCACAAGTTTTATCTCTGGACCAGATATCCCTATGTCGTTTATCATCACATGGATTCTGAGGGGATAAAAGGAAAACAATTATTTCTGACACGCTGGCAGAAATTTCAAATGTTATACAGTGGGGTGAAATCCTAGCATTGTTGAAGTCAGCAGCAAAACTTTCCAAATGACACTCTAGCAATTCAGACCTGCAAGGAACAAAGCTCTCTAACCCCAAACAATGAATCAGTTAAAAATGTTAAGCAAGGACTTGAGTGCATGGCCTGCAGGTATAAGAGGCAAAGGGAGGCAGTGACTTCCTTAAGTCTTAGTGCTCAACCTCCCCACTCCTATTCTTAAAGCCCTGCACAGATACAAAATTTGCAACAAAACTTGTATCTGCATCGCATCCATGTCCACAAAAATGAGCCGTGGATATCTGCATCCACACCAGCGGATGCGGACATCCGCACATGGATATCCATGGATTTGCAGGGCTCTAACAATTCTGATTGTTCCTGAAGGCTCCCACAGCAGGCTGTTACAGACAGGCGAGTCTTCCCCCAAAGTTAATTTATTAACTTAAAAGTGAAGTCTTCCAGCTTGCCAGACCTACTAGCATAACATAGCTGTGGTTAGGAAGATGATATAAAATAGAGTTCCCTTTTTCTAAATGTGATGAACATTGCAATGAACTCACTAAACCCCTCTGACTGATTAATTGAAAGTAATGTCAGGGTTTCAGTGTGTTAAATATGTAATAATCTGGAATGATTACTATGTGAGGGTGTAAGAGTATATTTAAAATATAAAATCAACCAAGAAATACCGATTAAGAAAATGTAAAACAGAAAAGAGCTTCATCATGTAATCCATAATATTTAATGTTGTATTTACCAGGACAGCTCACTTGCCCTTTCTACAAAGATTTTGCAAATAAATATTTGACAAACTTCAGGATACAGTATATCAACAAACCTGTGACATTTTTTTCCTCCAAAATTTAATGCTTTTAATTAGGTACTGTCAGCATATTCAGGCTTCACATTCTCCTCCAGTTTCTTTAGAAAGAAATTGTAGAAGAGTGTTGGGGTTTCTTCAAATGTCATTTGCTACATTTGGGTCAGGGATTTGGCTGGAAGACTTGAGTAGGGAGGGGAATGGAAGAGAAGAGGGAGATAGTGGGAAAGGGGAAGGGCCTGGATGGAACTGTGGTGGGATGTGGGCAGAGTCACTGGCTGGGGAGTTTGCCTCCCCAAGCAGGAGCTTCACCTATGGACCATGCAGTGCATCAGAGTGATGGTGAAACTCATCTAGGCAATTCTAAAGATTTGGGATTCATAAAGGTAAAAGCAATGCACTCTACAGGAAACATTTGATTCCATTTGAATGATAAGCTGTCAGAATGCTGAAAAATTCTAAGGCCATTATTTCTATTGTCCTGTTCTTACCTCTTACTTTAAAGCCGTTATTCATTGTGGTCAATCATTTCCCCAAAGTAACCCCTTAATGAAATCCTCTAGTGAAATTTTGCCTACACAGTTTCATTGTCAGCAGGCAGCCTCACTCATTTGCCTTTGCATAAACTAGCAACGGAAGACGTGATTTTTTTAATGAATTAAGTTAACCAAATACAAGGGGAATTTTTTTTATCTGGTTCTAGTCAGTGTAGCTCTATCAGTGGAAGATAGGCCAATATATATATATTAGCTGCAGATCTTGTCAAAACTAGTTAAAAACAAATTCTGCTCTCTTACCACCATGGATTTCCTTTGGCTTACTCTGGATTTACAGTTGTGTAACTGAGGCCTTATCTACACTGGCAAGTTTTGTTGCCAAAACCCATTTTTGTCAACAAACCCAGGGAGCATCCACATTGCACCATGACAAGAGTTGTAAGAAACCCCCAGTTTTGGCAACAAAAGAAGGCCAGCCTCACTTGGGACTTGTCTCTCCCTCTTTCTCTTTATTATCGACAACCAGGCAGCATGTAATATGGTAGGTTTTTTTGTGGAGTTTATTGAAGACCAGCATGTTTCCCACAATGCCTGATTAGCCACTCTGGCCAGCGCTTTTAACTTCACTGCTCTGCATCCACATAAACAGGTACACAGATGTGCCTCTCCCTCCTGCAAATGCCAGGAACTTTAAAATCCATTTCTTGGGGTCTGGTTCATTGTGTAGTAGTCTTCATAGCATCTTCACAGGGAAAAAGGGGTGGTTGTCACTAAAGATGCTCTTCTTGGAGCATCCCATAGCTTTTGTACCCTATCAATGTCTGGGATGCAGAATTGGTGCAATTACAGGTGTGAGAGACCTGGAGGAACTGGGACATGTTTCTTGAGCCCTGTGTGAGAAGGGGCATGGGTGAGACATGCTACAATGCAAAGCCAAGGTAAAGGAACTCAAGAGGCATACCAGAATCTGAAGGAGGCAAACAGCTAGTCTGGTGCAGCACCCAAAACATGCTGTTTTTATAAAGAATTGGATGCAATCCTGAGTGGGGACCCTCTGCCCACATCCAAGGCTTCATAAGCCAAGTCGGTAAGGGGTAAGCTGCATCACCTAGGACCACTATAGGAATTTCCACATCTCCCACTGTAATTTTCTGGTCTGGAAAGAAAGTCCCAGCCTGCAGCTTTCTGAACAAACCACTGTTACTCTAGATGTGTGCATCATAATCCTTTCCAGACCACCCTGCATTTATGTCTGTGAAACACCCATGGCGATCCACAAGTGCTTGAAGCACCATGGAGAAGTATCCCTTACTCTGAGGCAAGAAGGGGTGGCACCATATGGGAATACGTGTGCTATTGATTGTCCCAACAGTTTGGAAAGTCCTTTTAAGCGGAGCCAGCCACTGTGTCACCCACATTTCTCAGTTACAGTCCTATGCAGCAAAATGCCCTGCACACTTGCATAAGTGCTGCCCACTGGCAGACTTCTCTACTCCAAAGTGATTTGCGACTGAGTGGTCGCAACCAGGAGTCAACAGCTTCCAGAAAGCAATGGCCACATACTTCACTACCAGGAGAGCACCTTCATTTGGGAGTCCTTGGCCACAGTTCAGGGACCAGCTCACCACACAGCTCCAGGAAGGTTGCTTTATGCCTCCCAAAGTTCTTTCGCCACTGGTCTTCACCTGAACGAAAATGTGATCCCACCACTCAGTGCTGGTTTCTCTAACCCAGAAGTGATGCTCTACTGTGCACAGCTGTTCTGTGACAGCCCAATGCAATGCCACTTCACTGCTGTCCCTGTCACTCACATTGTTGTCTGCATCAGGGTCTTCGATCTCTCCTATTAATTGCATATGTAGCTCTGCTGCAATGCGTGATATCCTAAGTACATTGAACACAACATGGGAGCAAAGTCTGGGATTCATGATTTTTCACAACAGATGGACTGTCATTCAAGTGGGCTGAAATTAATCTGGAAGCCCTGGTAAGGCTGAGAGGCAAAGAGGTGGCTGGCAGGATGTTTTTTCACATTCCCAAAATATCTAGCAGTACGTTGTGCATTCCCACTGTACTTAACGACTGAAGATGATACCAAGCACTGTGGGATGCTTACCCAAATTGCTTTGCTCTTTCTGCCAACAGAGGAAATAAACAATGTGGCCATGGTATGTTGACAATGGGTGGCAGAAAAACAAGTTTGGCGAGTTTTCAGTTTTGGTGACTTTTGCATATCAAAAGCACTTTTATTGCCAAACCTTTACAGTGTAGATGTAGACAGAAAGTATGCTTCAGTGTATGATGTGTTGAATCAAAGGGGAGCCAAGAATGGTAATTATTTGATAATTGCTATCCTGGCACTAGGGGCAGCATTGATGTTCATTTCAAATGTTGGTGGGAACTAGTTATTATTGAGTTGGGGTGAGATTCTCCTTTACTTTCAAGGTAACTGTTTATGCAAATGGCTCTCTCCCATGTAGGAATTTTTCCTAGTAGTTTTAAAGAAGGGGACTTTAAAGGGCATCATATTCTAAGAAGCCTTACTACAGCTGCATTGACTTAATGCTAGTGATTTCCCATTAATAGGCACAGGGAATCAACATTGAGGTAGATCCCATTCATCTGTTTTCATTCTAATGATTATGCATCAAGATAAGTTACTACAATGTGATGCATCAAGAAAACAAGAGAGAAGAAATGCTCAGATAAATTGCAATCAGCTGCTCTTAAAGAGGCTGGTATTTGATCGAGTGTAACCAAATACATTACTTTATTCATGTATCTATAATGGCAGCTAACAAATATGCAAATATATATTTTATTCAAAGCTGTTGTCTTAAAAGAAAATAAAGTGAATAAAAAAGGCTTTTTAAACAAACCAACCTATTTTCATTTTAATGTGTCTTTTTGCAAAAGATTTTAGAAGTGCACTGTAACTGAAGCATTATAAATGGGACTATTGACAGGCATGTTACATTACCTGCCAAAGAGGGTCCTTTTGCTCAGGGAAGAGTTCAAAGTACTTGTGAGCAAGCTGAACTGGAGGCAGGGTCTGTAGTTTTAGGTTAGTCCAGCTCTTAACAAAGTTGGCCAGATTCAAAAAGGTGTACAACCCCAGACGGTCATTCCCGTAGTTGGACAAATGGGTCATGAAGATGCTGATCTGAAAGGTAAACAAAAGTGTTTAATAAACTTTGCAACAGCAGGACATCAATAGATGGCAGTAGTTGCTTTTGGAAGATTGAGTCTTGCATTTTTCTGTTATTAAAAAAATTTGAACTAGCTCTGCCTCTACTTTTGCACATTCACATTCTAACTGGGAGTCATGCCTGTTTGCAAGTTTTACAGCCCTAATTTTGTCTGCCTTTGCAGTATCCCTTTCCAGTTTCCCTGTCTCACTCGAGGATTTGTTCCCTCATCAATTTCAACTGACATTAAAATGTTACATTCAGACTCTTCTTCCTTCTCTTGCAAAACAGTTTTCCGCCCCATTTTCTTTGTTGGTTTTAATCCTTGACCTCTCTTAAACAGCATGCCTTGAAGTTTGATTTTTTCCGATTTTCCTAAATAGTCTTGCTTGCTATAATATTCATAGGTTTCTAGTACTTCCACAATTCATTGCACTTCTATTTTTCATCCTAAGAAACGGTGAAGTGCATTTACCCCTCAGGAAGGTGCCTATAGCTTAAACTAGAGCTGATACTTTCAAACACAATGTGGGTTTTCTTACATAACACTTAAATTATCCCAGTTTTCTTTAAGACTTTTCTGGAACTTCTCCACAAGCACAATATTCAGGCAAGGAGGAAAGGTTTACCTCACAGAGACTGTGGCTACACTGTGGACTACAGGAGTAACCAAGTACTTCCTGTAGCAAAGGGATGTGACCTTCTGTGAAGAGGGACATCCTGGACGGGCCTGAAAGCCTCTGCTGGCAGGAACTGGAAAATCCTCTGCTAGACATGGAAGGGAGGAGCCACAGGAACAGGAAGTATAAGAGGCTCAGACATGGGAGGCAGCAGATATCTCCCATTTGTGCTCTGGGCAGGAGACTGACCAGAGGCACCTTGACTATGCAGAGACTGAAACTTGGAATCTTAGACTTCCCCAAGCTGATGAGTTGCCAGGATTGTACCTCACTGACTACTCCAAAGAGGTCAAGGTTGACCAGTGGGTGCAGATGTAAGCAAAGGGGAGTTTAGGGGAATCCGACTTTTGTCTGGCTCAGTGGCAGATTTATTGTTAGTGAGGCCCTGTGCTTAGCTTCATTTCTTCGACCCAGCCAAGAAAAAAAAGTTCATTCTTCATGTCCCTTCTATTTTTCATTATTTTTCTTCATCCTCCTCCTATATTATAAGTATTAAGAAGTAAATGAAAATAAAGTGATTGTTTTGTAGTCTAACTTTTTTTTCACAGACCAATTGAAAATTGCTGAGGGTCTCGGAGGACCACTTAATGATCTTTCCAAAGATTGTTTGCACCATTAGCTAACTATTGTAAAGTGCTTTGGATAAAAGCACTTTATAAACAAAAGCCCATAATCTTTCCTCAGTCCACTTGAATGGAGTTCTCAGAACACAGTGTGAGAACTTCTGATCTAGAAGAAAGCTTGTATTTGCATTAAGCCATCATGAAGAATGTGTAAAACTAAAATGTATAGATGATGCATGAATGGAAAAATAAAAGTTAACTCCCTCTGAAGAAATGTATTAAATCTGAAAAAAAAAATATTCAGCCAGCTTTCTTTCTACACTTTATAAATTCTTTTTCTTTATAAATCATCAATCAAGTCATCGTAAGTAATATTTGGTAAAGAAACAATTTCAGTTGTCAATATTGCTGAACTAGTCAAATGTTCCTCCCTGATCTTTTGCTCCTCCCACAGCCCTTTCTCCAGAGGGCTTGCCCCCTCACACAGAGTGGCCTCCCCCTGCAAGGGGAGGAGGGATTGCCTGGCCTTGGGGACCCTGTGTTTTTTTGGGGGGGAAGGCATGTTTCATTGTAAATGTTTCATTGTAAATCCCCCCTGGCCTGGCTGTGGGTCTCCACAATTTGTGGTTGGTGTGTTGCCATGGGATGTCTTTACCACTGATAAGGCCCTGGACTGGCATCTGGTGGAATTGGATGGGCCTACACCCCACTGCCACCCACCATTAGCTGTTGTAGGTGTCTGAAACCCTGTCCTACTGCTCATAAGAACATAAGAACGGCCGTACTGGGTCAGACCAAAGGTCCATCTAGCCCAGTATCCTGTCTACCGACAGTGGCCAGCACCAGGTGCCCCAGAGAGGGTGGACCGAAGACAATGATCAAGCGATTTGTCTCCTGCCATCCCTCTCCTGGCAAGGAGTTCCACAGGTTGACTACACGCTGTGTGAAGAAGAACTTCTTTTATTCGTTTTAAACCTGCTACCCATTAATTTCATTTGGTGTCCTCTAGTTCTTCTATTATCGGAACTAATAAATAACTTTTCTTTATCAGCCCTCTCCACACCACTCATGATTTTATAGACCTCTATCATATCCCTCCTCAGTCTCCTCTTTTCTAACTGAAAAGTCCCAGTCGCTTTAACCTCTCCTCATATGGGACCCGTTCCAAACCCCTAATCATTTTAGTTGCCCTTTTCTGAACCCTTTCCAAGGCCAAAATATCTTTTTTGAGGTGAGGAGACCACATCTGTACACAGTATTCAAGATGTGGGCGTACCATAGTTTTATACAGGGGCAGTAAGATATTCTGGGTCTTATTTTCTATCCCTTTCCTAATAATTCCTAGCATCCTATTTGCCTTTTTGACCACCACTGCACTCTGTGTGGAAGTTTTCAGAGAACTGTCCACGATAACTCCAAGATCTCTTTCCTGATTTGTCATAGCCAAAGTAGCCCCCGTCATTCTGTACGTATAGTTGGGGTTATTTTTCCCGATGTGCATTACTTTACACTTATCCACATTAAATTTCATTTGCCATTTTGTTGCTCAATCACTCAGTTTAGTGAGATCTTTTTGGAGTCCCTCA